CCCTGCTGTGAAGTCCCTGTGACCCGACAGGGCAGGCGTCTCCGAACTGTGAAATGCTGGCCTGGGGAAGGTCATATAGTCCTTTCTCTGGCTGTGAGCCAGGCTCTCAGAGGCGTCTCCGGTGAGAAAGTAAGTTTCACTGTTTCTGGGTTACGACTGCTGTTTTTATTTTCCTGGAGGGCCGGAGCACAGCGGCTGAACTTAGAACCTTAACCAAAAAGCCAGACACTGAACACAGGGCTTTATCAGGAAATGCGCCCCTGGAGGACTGGCAGGGAGCCAGCACATGGGGAGGGCAGGCCCATCCTGGCAGCTCTTCGGCAGTGTGTGCTGGTTGGGGCGGAGTCCTTGGTACTGCCCCTAAAATGATAACTATTTCTCTGCTCACCCTCAGCACCACTCCCGGCTCTTCCTTTCCTCGCATCTGCTACTGGTGGCGCGGAAGACGGGCAGCGAGGAGGTTAACAGTAAGGAACTACAGCTTTTCCAGACTGCCCTGGGCTGTGAGAATAACCAAATGGAACTCATTTTAAATAAAGAGAGAGAGAATGTTTTTTCCAGGCCAAAGGTCTTCCTTTCATTGGTGGAGCATGGAAGTCTCGCCAGCGGCCGGCGGAGCGTCTGGATTCGGAGGCAGGAACCAAGTTCTTTTCCTAGCATTCCATGCAGGTGCAGGGCCCAAGGACTTGGGCCATCCTCCACTGCACTCGCTGGCCACAGCAGAGAGCTGGCCTGGAAGAGGGGAAACTGGGACAGAATCCAGCACCCCAACCGGGACTAGAACCCGGTGTGCCGGCGCCGCCAGGTGGAGGATTAGCCTAGTGAGCCATGGCGCCGGCAGCTCAAGTCTATTTAACTTGCCTCGTTTTCCTGGAAAGATGGTTCCCAGTGTCTTTCTTTTTTTAATTTATTTTTTATAGAAAGCTTTTATTTAATAAACACAAATTTATTAAATAAGTACAACTTATTAAATAGTACAACTTTTAGATTATAGTGGTTCTTACCCCCATACCCACCCTCCCACCCCCACTCCTGTCCCACCTCCTACTCCCTCACACATCCCATTCCTCATTAAGATTCATTTTTAATTATCTTTATATACAGAAGATAAACTCTATACTAAGTAAAGATCTCAACAGTTTGCAGCCACACAGACACATAAAGTACTGTTTGAAGACTAGTTTTACCATTAACTCAGTTAAGGATAGAGGTCCTACATGGGGAGCAAGTGCACAGTGACTCCTGTTGTTGATTTAACAACTGACACTCTTATTTATGACGTCAGTGATCACCCAAGGCTCTTGTCATAAGCTACCAAGGCTATGAAAGCCTCTTGAGTCCACAAACGTTTTTGCATGAGTTCTACCTACTTGTCTTTCCTTTGATTCCTAATGTCAAATGAAACATCTGACCTTGAGTTTTGATAGGTCCAAATGAAGGAGTTTTTGAAATATTCTAAATAATTTTATGGCAAAACAAGTTTTTCTTAAATTAGCCCATTACGTGTTCATATGCTTTACCTTGAGTTCCATTCAATCTTCTTTTCGAAGCTGAGGCTGTTAAAACCTGGAGAAACTTTTGCTGAAAACCAGTAACTTACAAAGTGGAAAAGAAGCTGAAAGACGAAAAAGCTGGTGCAAACAATGCTGATGGTCGACTTGTGGTTGGTATCCATATTTCTTCAACCTGTTCAGAAAAATAATGACCATAAATTCCTGTCCCATGATAAACCTGGCTTTTTTCATGTTAAAGATAATGTACTTGGATTTTTAGTAACTTTTTAAATTTAGCACAAATGTAACTCAAAGAAAAAAATTTTAGCCCTATGTGTGTTTCTGTGCCTTTAATGTCTGTTTGTCATTTATTTTATGTTTGCACTTAAAAAAGAAACCTATTATCTTAAAGAGCTCTATGTTATAAATTTCAAAAGATTTTTTAACATCATGACATTAAAAATTATCTAAGTCTTAGAATTTACTGTTGGGAAATTTTAAGTACTATAACTGAAAGTATTCTCTCAAAATATTTTTAATTATATTTAAGACAAATCATCTGATTTCTCCATGCCTCAGTTTCTGTATCTATTAAGAGTTGCTTAACTGAGCCAAAAATCAGAGCACAACACTGCCTGCAATCACAAAACAAAAAATTACATAATAAAAACTGTACAGAGATAGAAAAACATTTAAGGCCACCTACAATGCTGGCATCCCATATGGGTGTTAGTGCAAGTCCAGGCTGCTCCACTTCCAACTCAGCGATCTGCTAATGTGCCTGGGAAAGCAGTGGAAGATGGCTCAGGCACTTGAGCCCCTCCCACCCCCATGATAGACCTAGAAGAAGGTCCAGGCTCCTGGTTTTGGCCTGGTCCAGCTCTGGCGGTTGCAGCCATCTAGCAAGTGAACCAGAGGAAAGAAGATCTCCCTCTCTGTCTCAGCCTCTCACTCTGTAACTCTGACTTTCAAGCAAATAAATAAAAATTTTAAAAATTTTTTAAAGAAATTAAAAAATGTCAGAAGGATAACAGAGTGTTATAAAAGAGCTTATCACTGTTACTGCTGAAATTAGGATTTAACTTTTTTTAAAAAGTCAGCAATATCCTTGGACCATAACGCCTCCATGGCTCTAAATCTCATTTGAAAAAAAAAAAAAAAAAAAAAAGAGAGAGAAAAGAAAGAATAGTAAAAAAAAAAAAAAGATTTTTATAATAGAGCTTCATGTCTTATGCACAGTTAGATAGAATAATATGCATACATTGGCCGGTGCCGAGGCTCACTAGGCTAATCCTCCACCTTGCGGCGCCGGCACACTGGGTTCTAGTCCCAGTTGGGGCGCTGGATTCTGTCCCAGTTTCCCCTCTTCCAGGCCAGCTCTCTGCTGTGGCCAGGGAGTGCAGTGGAGGATGGCCCAAGTACTTGGGCCCTGCACCCCATGGGAGACCAGGAGAAGCACCTGGCTCCTGCCATCGGATCTGCACGGTGCGCCGGCCGCGGCGGCCATTGGAGGGTGAACCAACGGCAAAGGAAGACCTTTCTCTCTGTCTCTCTCTCTCACTGTCAAAAAAAAAAAAAAAAAAAAAAAAAAAAAGAATAATATACATACAATAATTATGCACAATTATATGTACACACACCTAAAAATGTCTTCTATTTAATTTGGGCCCCTAAAAATCTTTGGAACATGCAAACCACAAAAAGACATGAAAGCATTTGCTTACATACAGAAAATAGAGTCTTTCTACGGCTCTGTCTTTGACAGAGCTGATCCTCAGATGAAAAGAAAATGAATCAATACCCATTTCCAGCTGCCTAATGGGAAGAGACGAAATCACCTATGAAGCCAATCTGCTTGAGAAAAAACAGCCATCCACTGCCCAGCAATAACTCCACTCCACTCCCTCCCGACCAGGGAATCCTAACAAGAATCAGTCTCCCGCCAGCCCCTTCCAACAGAACTCACATGTCTGTAATGAATTCTCCCTTCATTCTTTTATTTTTCTAGTGTGTGTGCTTGGTAAAATTATTGATATTACAATTCTTGTCTGTGAGAGACTCCATTAACCTTATTGCTCATCTCCTTTTTTAAAAAAAAATCAACATGTGTTTATTGGGTATTAAAAAAGTTTAAATGGATTCCTTTAAGTTTAATATTAATCAAATACTACATACAAGTCAGTTTGGGACATAAATTAAACATTATAGATTGCTATGTGAGATGTAAAGGAGAAGATTTTTTTCTAAGATGACAGCAACTAGAGCTGTGAAGGCCAGGTGGACAGATAATTGAAGAAAATGGAGGGAGGGATCAGAAAGCAGCGAGAACCCAATCCTAAGCGTGAGGATGCTCCCCGCTGGCCCAGAGCAGTGGACGGGCATGGTGGCTCACAGACTTCGGTTAAAACTCAGCATCTACGATGAGCACTTCTGCCCTGAGTGTTTGTTGAAAAAGTGTCATAAAACTTATTTATGTCATACAACATCATCCATTTGACACTGTTCATTTAACTAATACATTAAAGAGCACTCAAACAGTTCCCCATTAAGCAACTTATTACTCACAAATCTAGGTTTCTTATTAAGCCTTTGTTAGGCTGGATGAATATTTTATATTTTCAACAGGCTTGTTCTCAGTTTAGTCTTTGGGGTGGATGTTGAAAGTCTCCCTTTGCTAAAATGTTTCATTCAAAACTAAATAAAGAGCTCCATATATTCAAGCTTTGGTTTCTATTAAAGGCTTGACAGACAGAACCTAATTAAATTGTTCTGCTCCCAGCTTTGCTTCTTAATAAGCAGCTGCTCGCTTAATCAGTCATGCCAAATCCAGGACCTGAGCTACAGATTTTTTAGAAATTTCCCCAGAAAATCAAGCCTTCTGGTAGGAAGCAATTGCCCCAGTTCACTTCACGTGCTTGACTCAGGCCAGAAAATGGTAACAATGGGTAAAACCAAAAGGTGCTCATTGCTAACACTGATAAAAGCCCTTGAAAGTTTGGGGATGATTAAGTACTGGGATACACAGTAAAAGTGGGAAACCATTAGACCTACTTCATACACCCCTGCATACACGTGGCTAGTAGCTGGCAGAAGGCTGGGAAGCTGGCTGTCCTAGAAAAGAACAAGCAGCTGAATATTTCTGGAGCAATTTCCGAGTGTCTAGACATGAACTCTACAATATAATTAGTCCATCTTAATTCACAGGAATTGTGGGCCCCAAAGAAGCTCATCCAGACACCTGCTGAATTCAGCGATGTCTATACTCTTCCTCCAACATGATTTACACAAATGGTAGTTGAACTTGGTTTCTTAGTAGGAAGAAAACAAAAAGCTCTCAAGTGCACCTCTCAACCATCAGCTATGAAAGCCCATCCCTTCCAGCTGGACTCACGGAGACAGGGCCCTGGAAATGGCTCAGCCAGGGCGGATGCAGTATTCACTGCACCAGGGTTTATCCAACATCTGCTACTTGCCTACCACTATGCCAGGCACTGTGCTGGTGCTCACACGCAAAATGGGAGAAACCCTTACAGTAAGAGAAGCAAAGAAAGCAGTCATCGCCATATAGAATGGGAAGGTCAGGGTGCTAAGGGGATGTTCCTGCTTTTCCAGGGCTAATCACCCAGCAGAGACAACATAGCAACAATCAGGAGCCATCCAGAGGTTTTCAAGGTGAATCAAGAAGCTACCTCTTCCATTAAAACCCCAACAAGACCCTTTGAGGCTAAAGGCCCAAAGACTCCGTTCTATCAGGCAAATTTAGAAATATCTACACCTTCCCCTCAAGATGAGTGCTATCATTTCCCCTGTTCTTTATCCCTTTATAAACAGGGGTTCCTTAGGGAATATGTTGATGTCATCAACACCACTTATCCATGCACACAGCCCCATTCCTCCACAGTCTGAAATCACTTGCAAGCAAGAATTGTGCTGCAGTGTTTAGGAGGAAAAAAACCCTAAAGAGAGGGCAGAAAGGTTTGTGTGTCTGCCTTTAAGGGTAGCAAGGAAGCAGAGAGCCAAGAAGGACACCCCACTCCTTCTTAACATTCCTTTTCCCTTCCCTTTCCTACTTCCTACTTTGAGCCCAAGTAGTCCCTACTCTCAGATCACCAGCTGTAACTGTCTTATAATAGATGAGGTTTATTTTATTTCACCAAGGAAATTAAGGCCATCAGGCATGAACTCCCTCAACTTGACACTGTTTACCACCTGCCCCACCCCCCACACCTTCTCTGCACCCTACACCTTCAACACTGCTCATGTTGTGTGCCACTCCAGCCCCCTCCCCTGGTGCACCATTCTAGAAGAGCAGCAACTTCTGGATGGCTCTGCATGGGCATCTTGGCTCTGGTAGGCTTGCTTGGCCCAAGCTGAACTCAACCCCAAATAAGTCCTTCCTCCGTGGCTGTCTGTCCCAGTGACCAACACTGCCATGCTCATCATTTCCCCATCTTCCAACCTAGAGCAGTTCATGATCCTTGACACCTTCCTTTCCCCTCACTCCCACGAACACCTGGCTGGAAAATCCTGGGAGATTAAGAGAATACCACATGAAGGACAACCTGACCCCAGCAAAGGCTTGAACCTTGGAGTAACACAGTCAGGTGTGGCTGGATAACAAAAACTAGGTAAACCCAGTGCTAGCTGAAAAACGAGAAGCAGACCCATGACCCAAGTCAACATGAGACCTGTCTCTTGGGTTTTTGTAAGCTTTTCTCTTCTTGTTCATATTTCAGTAAGTATTTCCATGTTTAAATAATCTGTATTTAACACAACACTGGGAAAAACAGTTAATATATTGAATTCAAGATTTCAAGGGGCCGGCACCATGGCACAGGAAGTTAATCTTCCACTTGCGGTGCCGGCATCCCATATGGGCGGCAGTTCTAGTCCCGGCTGCTCTACTTCCAATCCAGCTCTCTGCTATGGCCTGGGAAAGCAGTAGAAGATGGCCCAAGTGCTTGGGCCTCTGCACCCACATGGGAGACCTGGAAGAATCTCCTGGCTCCTGGCTTCAGATCAGCGCAGCTCTAGCCGTTGCGGCCATTTGGGGAGTGAACCAGTGGAAGGAAGACCTTCCTCTCTGTCTCTCCCTCTCATTGTCTGTAACTCTACCTCTCAAATAAATAAATAAAAATCTTTTTAAAAAAAGATTTCAAAATTATCTTTATTAGCTGAAATAATGAATTCCAA